CGTAGATAATAGTTTTTTTTCTACATTTACCATTGTATATTGGAAAGACACAAGACACACTTGTTACAAGTGTCAGTATATTATAAATAGTATGGCATAAATAGCACACAATTTTAATAAACTCATTCGGAGTAACAAGATCAATATTGCCAGTACTGTCAACTTGACCACATGTCATACTACAAATTATGTGAACAGAGTAGAAATTAATTTATTTTAATTAATTTTACATATCACGGAATACACCATCGATCTCACTGCTGCTTTGGGCCTTTTCGCGGAGTCACTGTGCCCCCCCCCCATCGATGGACTCAGGCTAAAAATCTAAAATTAAGATACAAAGATTTAATATTCAGTACATAAATAAATTGTGATCCGTCTGTAATTTATGTGTGATCCACCTACCATATTAGTAGTTATTTTAGAGAAGCAAACGAAAACATTCCTGAATATTTTATGACATCTATAGTCTATATTTCTATGATTGATACTTTCTTACACGTGTCATTTACCGGCCATTACCCGAAATCTTTATAAATTTTTGAAATAAACGAGATGCAATAACACCCTTAATACAATTAGTCATTTACGTGGCGACACTCCCTTGATTAGTTGATTAGTTTTAACGTGTTCTGTTCAATTGTTGGTGTTTACTTATGCGTAATTTTTCGTTCACTTTATGACCATGTTCAAATGTGTAGTTAGTTTACCAGAACAATTAGGTAGATCTGCTATAGCAGTGGAAACAGTATAATGTGCAAAAGTAGTCCTCGCGAGGAATGTCTTTAATATGCGTTGGCTACACTGCATAACACGTTACTCGGGGAATAGTACGCCGATGACGATTGCATTGCCACAATATTATATATTTTCGGACGTCATTATACAATTTACGCTCTTCTATCATAATAATGAATGGTGATGGTATACGCTTGCAAATAATCATCAGTCCCTTTAATTTCAACAAATATGTCCGATATGCAAAAAATCACTTGAAACATCTTTGCTTTACTCTATTCTAAACTAATACTACTAAAGTGAACGTACAAAGTATGTTGTACGTGTTCTGTGATATGAGGTATTATTATACAAGTCAACGTGTCCATCAATATCTCTTTATGACAATCATTATCGTGGTTTAGTATTGAACATTCTTGCAGAAATGAACCATATTGTGTTTCACGACGTCGCCAATGAAATGATATAAATGTCTCTCACAATTATATTTCAGTGGAAACGCACAACGCAGGTAACATTTTGATATTAAGGAAATTGATGTTAAGGATTAGGTGAGATATATATGGCACTAGTTTAACTGCCCCCCCCCCGCCTCCAACACCATTTATACAAGTTGGATGAATAAATACCGAGATGTAGGTTTCATTTTTTTTAAAAGATTATATTTCAAATATTCTAGCGTCAGGAGACATTGAGATAATTGAACTGAGCCTGGATTAAACGGTTTTTGAAATTAGTTGCTCTATCAATAATAAAGTTATTATTCTGCTGGTGATAAAAATATTGTCCGGAATATTATATATCCGACAGGGTTTAGTAACTTAGATGCATGTCTTTCTTTTGAACATTTTTTTTTCACATGAACAAATACGAAAAGACTGCCAGACAAGCCAACTTTTGTTTACATTTACTGGTAAACTAAATTACCAATCAACCAGTTCGTCTTGTTGCAGCCGGCCAACGCATGCACCGTAAGTTATGATTGTTTCCTCTTAGATTGTTCCGTTGTTTCAAGTCTATGTCTATGATATGTCTTTTATTTTCTTGTGAAGCAATAACTGTTTCACTTGCCAACGGGCTTCCACACCTACGCTTCATAACGGGGAATTCGTTTATGATGAATCATTCATGTTTAAAGTAGGCACACCTGTTTTGTATCCAGTTAAATTGCAACGTCGCTAGCACTTCGTGAAACCAGTAATATTGATTTCTTCGAAGAATTCTCAGAACTAAAGCAAAAAGTTTAATGTTTGAC